GGCGGCATACAGTGCCATCTTGTTGCCTGGGATGCTGCAGTACCAATCCGAGCCACAAAGAAGGGGAACCTGGAAGTGAAAGTGGCTAATATTAAAGCCTCAAATTTGGCTTAGTATAAGGTTGGAAACGGACTCATTTCATGCAGCCACGCATCACTCTGTCAGTAGCATTTGCCACAGCCGTAACAAGATCGAGGGTCGAGGACTTCGCACGGCAAAGACAGATACACGAGAATGTCATTTTGGTTTGATAATGCTGGTCATCAGTCGGTAACGATGGTAACAAAATAAGTTAGGAGTGCGCATTTGTTTTGTCAGTCAACATTTTCGATTGCACCGCAGCGCCGGCCCGGATATAGTAGGCCACTGACGGTTCTCCTACGGTCTCTAAACACAAGAGATGCAAAAGAGCTACTTCAGTTCGCATAACACCGGTTACCTTGTGTGCGACAGTTTTCAGTAAAACTAGTCAATAAAGTTTCACTCTTGGACCAGATACTCTGTCTAAGAGGATAGTCGTCTAGGTCCGAGATGTGGTCAAAATAAGCTGCCCTTTGAGTAGGGTAAGAGTTCGACTACCACAACTTCATCATTTCAAGTACTTCGAGCAGTGTGTCCATTTGTTGTGAAGTTTCCCGTATAGTATCTTCACATACAGCGGCGAGATGTCTAATAAATATACGACCAGCAAGATTCGAAAATGTGAAGACGCGACTTGTGGCTCTCCACTTCGTTCGCGTCCCTGGCTGCAGACTAAATAGGACATTTGGCGCTTTCGCGAGTTTCTACGCTTGCCGACCTGCAGTACGTTTAAGATATGTTCTGTCCAAATGGCGAAAGAGAGAGGGTCACCAAAGGTGTGAAGGCTGTTAAAATCGTTTGAAAGACAATCAACCCAACGAATACCGAACGTTCCTTGGGTTGCACTTCTGACGAGATCGGAAGCTTTAAATGCCCCCAAAAAGTTCTTGAGGCTAAGAGTCGAGATCAAGGAACCCTTCGAGTCGCTGTTCACAAAGGGAAAATCCTCTGAATACATTTTCACTAGCATTGGAGCCTATTAGGGTGCCTGCGAACTCTACCAATATAATTTTCAAATCTTGAACAATTAGATGTAAGGAAAGGAAAAACTGGAAGAGTTCGACCAACACTGCCTGGGGAGCACTTTGTGTGTGCAGCACAACGTTAACAATACAGACAGGACAATGCGAAAATCCTCAAGTTATTAGGAAGCCGCGAACAAGGTTGTTTGGGCAATAAATGAACCCATGACTGTCAAAATGGATTTTCTTTACAAGCCTGGAACAAAATATGTCGCCTTGGTGACTACCGTAAGTTCTGTCGAGATCTCTTATAGATCCAGGTACTATCTAGGAATTACATAAATTTACTGAGCTAGGTTTGCTAGTTTGAATGGAGAGTACTGAAAAATAGGTATAGTAAAAACATATTTAATGAAGTTTAATTGCTTGAAAGTCACAAATGTGTCATCAGATATTGTGACAAGCAAAAGATCAGTCAACATACTGCTAATTGTTTCCCTATCCACAATCCGAGAACTCGTCGGACAATCTAGGGCTTGGCTAAGAGTGCACTCATGGTTCTAGAGTTTCCTGGAAATGCAGCGCTAACGGTCTAAGTACGAGGACAGTACATTCGGACTTAAATTCACCTACTCAGGTCATCGTGACAGTCAACCCAGAGTATGACATAGTCTAATAACTCTGTCAAATCATTCTGCAAGCAGAATAAGTGCTGTAATAGAAAAAAAAGCAGGTGCATGCAACATACCGATTCACAAAATTGGGCCTTATGTTATAAAAATAACAGTTCTACTATATAGAAAGGCGGTTTGGTGGACGAACAAAAATCGCCGACCGTCAACAATATACCTGAGCGTTCGAAAAAAGCCTTAATCAACCGACTGGTCTCTTACCTAAAAATGTATCGAACAACTAAACCGTCAATTCGAAACCAAGGTGACAAACCCTATTGAATTAACTAGTTGCCTTTCAATA